GTGAGTGGACTGCCTGAGCCCGCGGGTTCGAGACCTGCCTGGGCAGCGAGACCTCATCTCTACAATAAATAAAAAAATCAGCCGGGTGTGGTAGCACATGCCTGTAATTCCGGCTACTTGGAAGGCTGAGGCGGAAGGATCGCCGGAGCCCAGCAGGTTGAGGCTGTGGTGGCCGGGAGCGGCCACTGCAATCCAGTCCAGGTGACAGAGTGAGACTCCAACTCAAAAAAAAAAAAAAAAAAAATTTAAAATACATATGCCCTTTGACTCAGAAATCCCACTTTTGATAATCTATCCCATAAAAACTAAAGTATTATTTCATGAAAAAAATATATACATACATATGTTTTAAACTTTTTGTTTTGTTAACTTCTGAGTAGGGCTTTATTCTTTTTCTTTTTTTAAATTTTATTTTAAAGATGTGGGGTACAATTCAGGATGAGGTATACAAATGGTCATGGTACAGGCAGAGTTTGGGCCTCCCTTTGGTCCCCACTTTGCCTATTTCATGAAAATATGTGTAAGAATGTATTGCAGCAGTTTTGTAGATAAATAGAGTGACTAGCTAAATTATTTGGCATAGCCTCACCATGGACTGATACTTGACCACTAAAAAGACTTAAACAAAAACCCAAAGCATTTATGAATAGAGATAAACATATAGACTAACATACACCAGGATGTTAACATGGCTGTGGAAACTGGAGATTCATATATATGTTTTTATTTTATGTATATAAAATTCAAACACACATACACACACAAAATCCTAAAAAAGATAGGAAGAGAAAATTCAGATTAACATAGAAACTGTTATTTAAGAAACTGAAACCCATATGTTACCAGTATGATGACCACGTATGTACCCAGACCTCATTTGTACCCCACATTTTAAAAATAAAATAATTAAATAAAAAAAGAAACTGAAAAACCACAATAGCAAAGATATGAAATCAATCTAAGTGCCCATCAATGAATTATTGGATAGAGACAATGTAGTACAGGCATGGTGGCTCACACATGAAATCTCAGCATACTGGAAAGACAAGGTAGAAGAACTGCTTATACCCAGGAGTTCAAGACCAGTCTGGGCAACATAGCCAGTCTCGACACAAAATCAAAAAATTAGCCAAGCACGGTGGTATCTATAGTACCAACCACTCAGAAGGCTGAAGGGAAAGGATCATCTGAGCCCAGGAATTCAGGGCTATGGTGATCCATGTTCATGTCACTGCCCTCCAGAATGAGCAACAGAGACCCCACCAGTCCAAAAATAAAATAAAAGCAAATGTGGCACATATACACAATGGTATACTATTCAGTCATAAAAAGAATGAAATCATATCTTTTGTGGCAATATGGATGGAACTGGAGGCGATTATCTCATGAGAAACAACTCAGAAACAGAAAGAAAGTCAAATATTGCATGTTCTCACAAGTCAGAGCTAAATAATGTTGTACACATGGACATGGAGTGGAATGGTAGACAATGAAGACTTGGAAGGTAAGAGCATGGGGAGTAACTTAGATAATTACTTATTTCTTATCCTTAATGCTTACAATTATACATTATACACTAAAAACCCAGACCTCACCACTATACAACATATCCATGTAACAAAACAGTACTTGTTCCCCTTAAATTTTTTCAAATAAATAATAGCTGAAAAACAATAAAACTAAAATAAATTTAAAAGCTGTTTCTTTGGGGAAGAAAGATAAACTATTAGCTAATGTAACTTTTCCCAAAGTGTTTTACCATTCTGCTTTTCACACACAGGTCTTTATATCAGACACTGTTTTGACGTCAAACTTCAAAGTCATGTTTTTCCAAATGTATGTCCCAGCACTATTTATTGAAAAGTTCATTGCTTCCCTATTATAATGCCGCTGTTGCTATACTCTGAACTCCATATATATTTAGGTTTGTTTCTACGTTTCATTTCACTGGTTACCTGACAAAAACTGTGCCAGTACAACAACGCTTGCATTACTAAACTTTATAATTTTAAAGTTATGGTATCTTGAGTCTTCACATCTTTTTCAAGACTATTTTTGCTATCTTGCCCTTTACTCTTCCATATTAATTTTACAATCAGTTTGTCAACATCTATGCAAAATTTTTATTTTTATATGGAACCATATTGAATTCACTCTTTAATTTGAAGAGAACTGACATCTTTATGATACGGATTCTTCCTAGCCAAAGATGTCATATTTTGCCCCTTTTACATCTTTTAGAAGTGACTTGCAATTTACTTACATAGGTGTCACACACTTTTAGCACATTGATTCCTATTACTCATTACAGTTTTGGTACTACAGCATTTTTAAATTAAATTTTCTAATTTATGCTGATAGTTGATTTAAGGCACTGTGTCGCCCAGAATGGAGTGCAGTAGCATGCTCATAGTCACCACAACCTCGACCTGCTGGGTTCAGGTGATTCTTCTGCCTCAGCCTTCCAAGTAGCTACCATGCCGCCCAGCCTTCCAAGTAGCAGCCACCATGCCCAGATAACTTTTTTGACCATAATCAAAACTTTATTGAAAAACTGACACCAAATAAGACCACTGTTGTATACCTTACAAAATCAAATGTAATTACATTGTCTTGGTAGATTAACTGGAATTACTGAACTTATAATAAGGTTTTCTGTGAGAACACAAATTCAGGAAATTGGGTGGGTCATTAGTGTTACTTTCTTCTAAATGAACACCCTTCTGTGAGCCTGGCCTTTCCTCCTATAGGCTGGCACAACACTGTCGAACAACCCACACAAAGAACCACTATCTGCACATGGCTGAAAACCATAGTGATCTTGTAGCAACATGGACATTTTACATCCATAAAGTAGGAATTTGGACTTTGAACCAGGTATTTCTTTTTATGTTTTTTCTTCTCCTCTTCGAAGAACATATGTAAAAAATCTCTGGCCAAAGGTATGTCGATCCTGTCGCCAGCTCAGCTGGACCAGAGCTCAAAGGCGAACCCCACCGCCAGCCACATGTAAACAAGCACTTGGCAGCAACTTTGCTTTTATATATATATATGTATATATATATACATATATATGTATGTATATGAATGTGTGTATATATATATATATATATATATATATATATATAGTAGAGACAAGGTCTTGCCAAGTTGTCCAGGCTGGTCTTAAACCCCTGGGCTCAGGAAACCCTCTCGCCTCTGCCTCCCAAAGTGCTAGGATTACAGACACGAGCCACCGCTCCCAGCTCATAGTTGATTTTATTATATTGAGTCCTGCTAATTTCCTAATAGTTCTAATGGTCTGTAGACTGTCCTAGATTTTTCACATAAATAATTTTACCATCTTTAAATAGAGTTATGTTTCATTCTAACTCTGACACCTTTATTTTTCTTTTCTTACTATGCTAGGATTTCCATTACCACGCTGAGTAGAAGCAGTGACAGCAGGTGTCACTGCGTTGCTCTGATTTTAAAGCAAATGCTTCCAACTTTGATATAGTATATGCCCATTTACCAGGTCAAGGAAATTCTCTTCCATTCCCAGTTTTCATAACTACCTAGAATTGAATTCTCATCAAAGCATTTTTTTAACATCTATTGTCTCTATTGCTTTTTGGGGGAGCGACAGATTGCCATGGTTTCTGAATGTCCCTGCACACACTCGCTATGTATGCCAAATTGCAAGACCTAACTCTCCACTGATACTAAATAGTTTCTGCAGCTGGTTTCACAGACAGTAAAATAGGTCAAGGTTACCACAGTGTGACTACTATGACAGCTTGCTCCCAGGGAAAGAACTGGCTTGTTTCCTGCTTGTTACAAAAGGTAACAAGTTCTTGACCCTGGATTCCTAAGCTGCAGTGCATCCCACAATGTGCACAGTCACCATCTCTGTCTATCACACCACCCCGTGGGAATTGGGAACAAGGAACCTGCACCACAATGCTGATGCTCCTGTTGACTGCTGTGCTAGGAATAATATAAACTGCCTTTGTCTATCCACTGAATCTTGACTCCTTTTGGCACCTATGAAGTTGTGGCAGTTGATTCCTTGCCACTCGCTATGAGAGTGGGGTTCTTTTCCTTGACAGTTCTTAAGAGATCTTTAAAGGCTCCTTTTATAGCTTCTGACACTACCACTGCCATGTCATTTAAAATAAACAAAAGCAAACTATCAATGTCTGTCTACCATTTTCCCCCCCTAACTATTCTATCAGATACCTTCTTTAAGGAACCAAAGCCGACAATGATCAAGACCCTTCCAAAATGTGTTTTCTCAACATAAATTTATAATTAAAATAAAGCAATTAAGAGAATGCCTTATAATAGGAGACACTTTGTAAGAACGCAAATATTTTCATAAGGATATTTCTGGGAAAAAAAGTCTTAATTTCTAATTAGGTAAACCTCACAATCCATACCACACATTAAGAATAATAATTATTGAGCCGGGCTTGTGGCTCAGCCTGTAATCCCACGTCTTTGGGAGGCTGAGGTGAGTGGATTGCCTGAGCCCATGGGTTCGAGACCTGCCTGGGCAGCGAGACCTCATCTCTACAATAAATAAAAAAATCAGCCGGGCGTGGTAGCACACGCCTGTAATTCCGGCTACTCGGAAGGCTGAGGCAGAAGGATCGCCGGAGCCCAGCAGGTCGAGGCTGCTGTGGCTGGGAGCAGCCACTGCACTCCAGTCTGGGCGACAGAGTGAGACTCCAACTCAAAAAAAAAAAAAAAAGAATAATAATTATTTTGTAAGAACACATCAATAGTTCAAATATTTTAAATACATATTATCAGTTATAAAATGCCAACAGATACAGACTATTAGCTATCAGTACTGTTATATTACAGAGTCACAAATAGAATATAAAGCTTGCTACTTTCAAAATTTAAAATCCTAATAAAATATTTCATCTATGTGCCTGAAGTTAGATTTCAACAGCAGACAACTCAGTGAGTCAAGTGTCAAGGTGCTTATGCTATTATTTTTATCTTTTTACCTGTATTCAGGTTGTCGGCTTGCAGAATGATCATCTCTCGTCCATCTATAACCAGATTCATCCTGTAACATAAAAAAGCTACTTAGGTAATCTGTTTACATTATTTTGAATAAGCTAGGATATGCCTAAAAATACTATTGGAAATACTATTGGTACCTTTTTCTAAGACCAACATGCTACGAGGGCAAGAACGCTTTTCTAAATTTCCCTAAGCTTCATATACATTAAAAAAAAAAAAAAAGATACAGCAATTCTTCCATTTCAACAACTAAAATAGTAGACTGGGAACCTGTGGTACCACTTATCTCTATTAAAATGCATATGTTATTTCTTTGGTAGACTCAAAACAGCCTAACTGCCAAAGAAACATGTACCAACATCACAACAGTTAAGAGCTGTTTTAGGACAAAGGCTAAATTTAATCAAACATGCATTTCTCAACCTTTTATTTTATTTTTCCTTCTGTCAAGTTCTCACATCAGATTTAAGCCCAATGAAAAGCTTGCTACTTTCCCATTTTTCTTCTTCAAATTTTCTTTTATCATCATATTTCCCATTTAAAACCAACTGGAAACGACATAAGAAACTGTCACTTAATGATAAGCTACATTAGAGTAAGATGTGATACTAGATTTAAAATTAATAAAATGAATCACATTATGTCCCCTAAGATAGACATATTTGCAAAGGCGCATATAAAGAAACTACGTAGTAATTCACACCAAATTACTTTAAAATTATTACATCAAACAATACAATACACAAATTACAAATCAGAAAAACTGATTCAGCAAAAATAAATATTATCCTCATCTTCTTCAGCATCATACACCTACTCTCATATAAATGTATTCATCATTTTCCTTCTCAACATTAAATAGAAACAAAACAAAACTAAAAACAGCAGGTAAAATAAAATATTGGATCGACTAATTTGTTTGCATCATATAACTGAACTGTAGATAACAATTAGCATCATGAGAGTACTAAGGATCACAAGTGTGTTTGTTGCTTGCTTGAAGAGAATTTAAACAAAAAAATGTTGTATAAAGTATGAAGACAAACATAATTGGTAACAATAATTTAAAACAAAACAAAACTAAAAACAGCAGGTAAAATAAAATATTGGATCGACTAATTTGTTTGCATCATATAACTGAACTGTAGATAACAATTAGCATCATGAGAGTAATAAGTATCACAAGTGTGTTTGTTGTTTGCTTGAAGAGAATTTAAACAAAAAAAGTTGTATAAAGTATGAAGACAAACATAATTGGTAACAATAATTTAAAAACAATTGTTGAAGTCCTATTATGCTACACATTTTTAGAAAAAAAATCATGTTTATGAGGTTTCAAACACAAACTGGTCCAATAAATATAAAACTCCTTGAGCATGTAGAGTTCCATAAAAGGAATAACAAAAGTTTATGCTAAGGTCAAATTGTTTCTCCCTGAGACTACCGGGAGGCAAAAATCCATTATTTCTAGAACAGTGATAATGCATAGTGTTTTCAACACCTATCCTATCCTACTAAAGAAAAGTATGACGTTTAAAAAGTGACTAAAATAAAACTCAATTCTGTTAACAGTTAAGATAATGGCAGCACCCCAAACTTTGGAAACAAACACAAGAATACACTGAATATATAGTCACATTACCACTTTGAAATTGGTCACTATGCTGTAGCAGTAAGAGAATTAGACTCACACACATACCCATCCTGAGAAATATCACCTTACCACTATTTATTTCTTCAAGTATAAAGTATGGAAACTAATTCCAACAGCCAATATGAGGTAAAATTATATTATAAATAGGGTTTGAGTGAGTACTGTTAGTTACCACATTATATTGCAGGGAAAGGGAAAAAAAGAGAAAAAGTAGGAAAATAGTCTGGCAGAGGAATGTTGTAAACATGCAAGCTAGGACAAAGGAATTCCATCAAGGAACAGTTTCAATTAAGGTCAATGACAGATTACTGCAACACTAAATACATACTTCTAGATTATTAAGAATGATCAAGAAAAACAAATTATAACAGTAATAATAGCAGCTAGCATTTTAAAGGGTTTGCTATATGACAATGCTTTGAGTGCTTTCTAATCTCAGTTAGTAGTTAGTAAATAGACTTCAATAAGGAAGTATAGCAAAATTGAAACTGAATATCAACAACTTTAACCCACCTCACCACAGCGTTTCATCATGATGAAAATAAAGTAATTATGAGTGGGTACATCCAGTAAGAGAGGTAACCACCTGCTCATCACTTATTAAGTACTAAGGCAATATATCACCTTTACATGGTTCTGCAAATCCCTGCCAATTTAGGGGATAAAAAAGCAGGCTAGTTGGAATTAATTTCATGTAGACAGAGCTATCCAGACTGCTTACCCTTTTTGTCCAGCACCCCAAGATTCTTGACTAATAGTTCCCATATGACAGCTCCAGCAAGCAATTCAACAGAGCATCAAGCAGGAAGCGTGTATTCAACTATTTTCATGGCCATCACATAAAGTTTTAAAATTACATGAATTCTAAGCTTATAAGAAATAACAATTAGTACATGGGGGAAATTTACATACTCCTCTGTGAGGTGGACCACTTCTTCGATCATGAGAAAAACTGCGGCCCTCGTCACATTCTCGGTAATCAACATGACTGTAATATCTATTGTAGCTTCCTTCACCAGGTCTGTCTAGCAGTGGTGGTTTCTTTGGCCCAATATTAACTACTCTATGGTAGCCATCCTAAAACAGACAAAAAGAAATATATAAAAATCACTAATTTCTCTATTTGGTTTTGGAAAGGTTTTTAAAAAGCACAGGAGTTCTTATCCTTAAATCAAATAGGATAAATGTATAAACAAAAATGCATTAATTAAATAACATGAATATAATATTAAGGTCTTCACATGGAGTAAAGGAAATCAAGTCATTCAACGAAGAAAGCCAGGTCTTCAAAATAACATGCGGCAATGCAAAAACTAATCATAAGTAAAAGAAAAAATACAATTTTATCATTTTAATAAAAAATAAACTTAAGAGAGCAAGAATGTTACAGTAGCTCTATCCTTTATTGTCTTAGAATTTCAGAAATCAAATCATGTAAGATAATACACATATCTGGTCTACTGTGTTGGAACTATACTATTTAGAATATGAACTTTTTACACATAAGCAACAGCAAACAGAAATAATACTAAGCTAGAAAGATCAAAGGGAAACATTTTGCTATTTTTCCAGCAGCACTAGAAAGAAGAGAGTCTTTGGCTTTACAAGTGTGAAAGTAAAATAAAAGCTGATATAAAATTCAAACAAATGTTTAAAGTACTGTAGTATGTTAATGTGTTAACGTTTTAACAACTGAGTGGGTTTCCGTGGGACTTTGGGAATTGAACAGAGAGAACATCTGTCTTAGGTTAGTAGATGCTGTGTAATAACAACAAAAACGATTATCAACACTAAGAAGCAGAGAGCTATAGAACATCAATCTGCACATAATCTGGTTTTGGGCATTCATGGTACATCTATCAATATCAAATGAGATATATGTTAAAGAAATTTGAAAGTTGACCAACTTGGAGCAAAAAAAAAAAAACCTACAGTACATAAAGTCCATATCCTGGGCTCTTACATCACAATCCTACACCTGAAAATGAAATTAATACTGATACCTACTTCATGGAGTCGTGAGTACTAAATGAAAACCAGAATATAAAGTGTTTAACACACTTCTTAGCACACACCAAGTGCTCAAAAAATGTTTGCTATACTGATTACTACCTGCAAGTCTATGAAAAAACACTCAATACCTCAAATTGTTTAATTACTTCTTAGCATTAATGACTTCCATTATTAAATTGCTATTAAATTACTAGATACCATTCAAATTTCTCAATGGGTAGGAAATCTGTCAATGGGTCAGGAAAAAAACAGAAGAGTTTATACCTGTTTGAGAGCTAAAAAGATTCAAATAACTTTTCCTATTGGGATCTAAAGTGCTTTCCTGCATTCGTATGTTATATAAACTGTAAGATATATTCTGTTTACACAAAATATGATACACAACTGAATGTATTAACTCTCTCATCTAAAAACTAAGCAAATACTGAGCTTCTAAAAAAAAAAAAAAAAGAGGCATTAAGGCCAGGTGCAGTGGCTTACACCAAGCTAAGAAGATCGCTTGAGCCCAGGAGTTTGAGACAAGCCTGGACAACACAGTGAGACCTCATCATCTTTAAAGAAAATCAAAAAATTAGCTGGGCATGGTGGTGCTTGCCTATAGTCCCAGCTATCAAGGAGGCTGAGGTGGAAGGATCGTCTGAGCCCAGGAGTTTCAGGCTGTGGTGAACTGTGATCATGTCACTGCATCAAGTCTGGGAAACAGAGTCTCAAATAAAAAAATAAAATTAAATTTATAAAAGGCCAAAATTACAATTTACAGCATTTCTAATTCAAAACTTGTTATTCACAAAATTAGAACAACTGACTTCTCCAAATCCCAAGAAATCCTAAAAATCCATTCCATAATACTCTTGTTTTTATATGCTTATTTGGAGGAATGGTGGGGTGACTATGCATGCCTAAACACTTCTGAGAATAGAGAGCTTATTATTTTATAAAGCAGTCTGTTCCTTTGTTCAATCACCCCAGTTACTAGAAAGTTTTCTCAGGATTGTAAAATGTATATGGTAAAACTTTTGAAGAAATAAAACTTGAAATCCTGAATTGTACCCCACATCTTTAAAATAAAATAAAATGAAGTAAAACTTGAATCATTTATTTATTTTGAATAATTGCTTTGCCAACTAATAACATTAAACAATCATTCTAAAAGTTGTTTAGTTAGCCAAAGGAAAAAAAAAATTCCTGATGACAGCTCTGTACCTGGCAATAAAGAGCAAACTGGCATTTCCTTTACGTTTTGAGAAAGTATTCAAATGTAAGTACATTACATCATCGCTGCTCTGCAGATACCTAATCTTAAAGAAAACTCTTTAGCTAAATGAAAAGATTTAAAGGAAACAAAGATGACTGACTGTATTTTCAAAGAATTCATGTCTCATTCAGGTATAATATTCAAGGATTCTTCTTCCCTATAAAATGCATGATGAGTAGCAAAGATTTTAGAATTTCCCTTTCAAAAAGCTTATATTATTAAGTTCAAACACTATTTTATATTTCCTGCACTGCCAGACCTGAAAGGAAATGCCATCACTGTTTGAAATTCTTGTACAAATCTTACATCAAGCTGTAAACATGTAATTTTCCTTTCTAAATGCTAATATAAGTACATAGGTTTAAGGTACTGATATGTTGGAACCTCCATTTTAGAAAGATCTTGGCAAAAAAGCTGATTTTTTTAAAAAAATGAACAAGCATTTCTCCAAAGAAGGCATAAAAATAGCCAGCCAGTGTCCCAGCTCCTTGGGAGAATGAGGCAGGAGAACTGCTGCCCAGAAGTTCAAGGCGACAGTGAGCTATCACTGCACTCCAGTGTGGGCAGAGAGTGAGACCCTATCTCCTAATAATAATGATGATGATGGCGGTGATGATATAAAAATTGCCAATAAAAAATTTTAAAAATATGAGAAGGTGCTCAACATCACCTGTAATGCAAATTAAAATCACTATGAGATACCACCTCACACCCTTAAGGATGACTAAGATCAAAAAGAGATGATAAATGTTGGCGATGTATGAAGGAAAGGGAAGACTTGTACACTGTTGGTGGGAGGGTAGCTTGGGTACAGCCATTATAGAAAACAATTTGGAAATTTCTATGGAAATTAAAACTAAAACTACCATATAATCCAGCAACTCCTCTTCTGGGTGTACTGCATATACAAAGAATATGGAATCACCACCTAGTTTGCACTCCCATGTTCAATGCAACATTATTCACACTTGTCAAGATATGGAAATAGGCTGGGCACGGTGGCTCACACCTGTAATCTCTACACTTTGTGAGGTTGAGGTAGAAAGACTGCTTGAGGCAGGGAGTTTGAGATCAGACTGATCAACATTGCAAGACCCATTCTACATGTGAAAAACTACAATAAAAATAAATTGTACAGTATAGAGGACTAAAGTTAATAAAACTGCACTGTAGTAGAAGTTTTTGTTAAATAAGTACATTTTATCTGCTCTTATCACACAAAATAAGTAACTATGTGGGATGATCAATGCCTTAATCTCTTTCAATATCATAACCACTGTACTACTGATATGTATCTACATGTATCCATATAATTCCAATGGAATCAAAACATTTCTATTCTTTCAAATGCATATATTTCAAATCTTGAGTTTGGATATAAAAATCTCAATTTACCTCCATTATATCAATTTGCATTACGTCTGTTCATTATTTTAAAATCTACATATTAATGCACACACTAATTAATATGTATCTACATATTAATTATTAAATAAGTATCCTTATAAGTTTAAAAGATCAGAATTTTTTTATGGATGTTACTAGAATTTTCAAAAAATATATGCAGAATTTATTGGATTTGCTCCTCCAAAGTTAGTATTAACGGTATGGTCAGTAAGACCAAATATACTTGTAAAAGATGTAAATAGCTCATTTAAAAGAAAAGCTCTATTTTACTTAATCATTTATTTACTCTGGAAGGATACTGAAGAAAAGCTTGCACATAAATGTAAATACTCTTTTGGAAAGTTCTCTACTTTTCTACACAACATAAACTTTCACATTTGTCATTGTCTTAGGGGTCAGACAATTACTACCACAAGGCCCTCTAAGTTTGTGAAATAAGAGTTCTTCAGTTTGCTTATGCTAGCTAATGAAATCTGACCAGAATAAAATGTCAAATTAATTTTGCAATCCAGAAATGTGAAATGGTGACTATGTTTTGTTATAAAATAAACATACATCAATTTGCTGTACATTGATATAACTACTTGTTATAAGAAATTTTAGTAAGTAAAAGCACCAAATTGATGGGTTTTGCTTGATTTGTTATATAAATCTTTGTCAGATGTTCCGCACTAATGTTAAATCTCATACTAACTGGGAACAAATTATGTGAACTACATGCTTCTTTAAAAGTATTTCTTTCTGAAAATGTCACTAACATATACTTGGCACTCATTTTAACAACAACAACAAAAAAACATTTACAATTAAAATGTTGGCCAGAAATGGGGGCTTACACCTATAATCCCAGCACTTTGGGAGACTGAAGTGAGAGAATCATTTGAGCCCAGGTTCAAAACTAGCCTGGGCAACACAGTGAGAACTCGACTCTACAAAAAATACAAAAATTAGCCAGGTGTGGTGGCACATGCCTGTAGTCCCAGCTACTCCAGAGGCTAAGGTGGAAGGATCACTTGAGCCCAGAAGGTTAAGGCTGCAGTGAGCTAAGATCATACCACTGCACTCCAGCCTGAGCAACAGAGTGAAATCCTGTCTTTAAAAAAATTAATAAAATAACTCCTCCCTTAAGCATCCTTATCTTCTAGAGACATACTGAAATATTCATTTACATTTGAAGTATGGTATCATGGATAACTTCAAAATAATCTGGGAGGGAGGACAGTGGTAGAGGCATAGGCAAAACAAGATTGGTCATGATGTGATAACTGCTGCTTTGATAATTTGTCCCTTGGGAGCTGGTTATATTTTTTTGTTGATTTTTATATACTTAACTTTTTCTCTTATGAAATGTCAAAAACAACCTACTAACTTAACAACGAAGTGACTAAGTACAATGGCACAT